TCTACTTCTTGGGTCAGTTTTTCTGGTTTCTGTATTTCTAGAAAATTTCTATTTCATCTAGGCTATTCAATTTGTTGGTACGCGGTTATTCATGGTTTTCTCATACAATACTTTTTATTTCTATAAAATCAGTAGTAATGTCTACTCTTTCATTTATGATTTAAATGACAGAATCCCTAAAATACACACACACACACACACACACACACACACACACACACACACATATTAGGGATTCTGTTGTTAGGTACACACATGGTTATAACTGCTATTATCTTCCTGACAGAATAATGTTATATATTTATCAATATATAATAATTCTGTCTCTTTGATCCCTTTTGGACTTAAAATGTTTGTTGTTGTTGTTGTTTGATAATAAAACAGCTATTCAGGCTCTCTCTTGGTATGGAATATCTTCTTCCATCCTTTCAACCTCTATGTAGTTACTTTTATCAGTTTTCTTTCTTCTTCATTTGGCTTTAAGTTACTGTCTTATTTCAGCCAGAAGGAATCCCTTTAGCATTTCTTGTAGGGTAGATCTATTAGCAACAAACTCCTTTAGCTTTTGCTTATCTGGAAATATCTCAATGTCCCCTTGAATGTCATCCTGTGCTTTAATAGTATTGACAAATACAGAATTCTTGCTTGACTTTTTTTCTTTCAGCACTTTAAATATTGTCAGCCCATAGCTTTCTAGCTTCCATAGTTCCTGATGATAAATCAGTTGTAAATCTTATTGAGAAGTGCTTGTATGTGATGAGTCACTTATCTTTTACTGCTTTCAAAATTCTGTCTTTGACTTCTCACAATTAGACTATAATGTGTCTCAGTGTAGACCTCTCTGACATTATACTACTTGAATTTATTGAGTTTCTTGGATGTATAGATTCATATCTTCCACCAAATTTTGGATGTTTGGGCCATTATTTCTTCAAATATTCTTCTTGCCCCTTTTATTTCTCCTTTTTTCTGGAATTACTAATGTGTGAATGTTCTTCCGCTTGATGGATGTCCCACAGGTCTTTTAGGCTCTACTTACTTTTCTTCACTCTTTTTTCTTTCTGCTTCTTAGACTCAATAAATTCAATTGTCCTATCTTCAGGTTCACTTATTCTTTCTTCCACCTGTTCACATCTGCTCTTGAAGCCCCCTGGTAAATTTTTTATTTCAGTTATTGTACTTCTCAGCTCCAGAATTTCTATTTGGTTCTTTTCATAATTTCTAACTCTTCACTGATATTCTCAATTTGTTCATACATTATTTTTCTTATTTCCTTTAGTTCTCATGGTTTCCTTTACATCTTTGAGCATATTTCAGATACTTGATTTAAAATAATTATCTAGTAAATCCAATGTTCAGGCTTCCTCAAGAATGGGTTCTATTTATTCTGTTTTAATGGGTAATACTGTTTTCTTTGCATGCCTCTAATTTCTTGTTGAAAATTAGGTATTAAAATATTAGATTATAATGTGGTACTTGGGAAATTAGATTCTCCCCACTTCCCTATGTTTCACTGTTTTTGATTAATTACTTAGCTAGTGTTCAGCCAGTGTTTTGAAAGAGATTTCCTTGGAAGCCAAAGCTTAAAAACAAAACTAAAACAAAAAACAAAAGCACTTATCCTAGTCTTTGCAGACTGGCTGTGTGCTGGGATATTCCTTTAAGACTTAACCATACCATTCACAACTCTGCCTTGGCCTTTACTTCCTGCTTGTACTGGGCCTAGCAAGCACACAGTGAGAAAGTTTATGGTCTTCTTAGGTCTTTCCTGAACATGTGTCCTGCCCTGGGCATGCATGTGGCTTTCTAAATTCCCTTCTATATACTGAGGCTGATTGTACTAATTTCAAAACAAAAATAAAAATAAAAACAAACTCTATGTCAGGGTCTTTCTCCCAGGTCAGCTGTATTTCTCACCATACTCTATTGCCCAAAAAAGCTTGCCCAAAAGCAAGTTTTCATTTGCTTTATAATGTGTTCAACCAATGCCCACTAATTTCCCTGCCTGACTGTGTTCGAATTAGGTAAAACAGATATATAAGCACCTGCATCAGCCCTTCAAGTAGTTCTCAGGTAGGTTGATCGGACAAATGCAATAATTTGCAAATAAGATCTGCTAGGCTCCCTCTGGAACAAGGCATCTGGGTCCCACACTGGCAACTCAGACTGTCACCTTCAAGACTGTTGCCAAGCTGGGGAAGGAATGAGGCTCCGGCAAATAAAAAAGCCACAAAGCATTCCTTCCACCTTTCGGTTGTCTTTTTCCTGTCTCAACATTCCTTCGGTTGGTATAAACCTTTGACATTTCCAGGTTCTGACAAAGTTGAATCTGATAGTTTAGGCTTGTTTTCAATGTTTTTGTGGAAAGGTAGGGTTTTAGAGCTGCCTGCTCCAACATTTTGCTGATGGCACTCTAAGTAGTTATTTTTAAAGACCTAAAAATTGATAGCATAGCCAGATCAAAATCTACTAATGTAACATTTATTATTTTTGTGCTATTTTATCTTTAAAAAGCCTAGTGACTTATTTCCAGAAATTTCTACTGAGCTCCATGAGTTGGAATGTTAAACTGCTAAAACTGCATATAATTAGTCACATAAAATTGCAACAATGAATATAATTTCTTATATTTTAATACTTTGACTACTATTATTGTTTGTTTGCTGGCAAGTACTAAATGATAACAAAATATTAGGAAAATTGAAAAAACTTTTTATTCTTGATTAAATATTTTTCCCCTAGATACATAATTGTAGTTTTAAAAGATGTATACAATAGAAATACATTCCAATGGTAAAATTGAGTGACTACTATGAAAATAAAAATACAAATATTTAAGGGTGGTATTTCAGAAAAAGGACAGTATTCAGCCAAAAGCAGCCTGACTTTTTTAGGTGCTATACCATGTTTAAGAAATATTGTTAAGCAGAATCCGATATTTAAAACACCAGAGTCTACATCTATTAGAGCTCCAAATTGAAATGCTTTAAGCAACTGTTTTTGTAAACAAACTGACAGAATTCAAAAAGCACACATATTTGTTGTCTGCTAAAGTCAATCAAACTTATGGCAGTTATAAAGAAAACATATTCTAAAGAAATTATCAATAAGATTTACATACCTCATTCTAAAACACTTGTCAGTTTTTACTTACAGATGAGGTAAAAAAACAAAACCATGCAATAATCTGTAGAATCAATAATTCAGTCAATTGCTAAATTAATGAGTTGAAGAAAAAATAACAGCCCCAATAAAATCAACAATTATGGCTAGTTCCTTATTAGGCTTTTGTAACTTTATTATACATTTTAACATAACATTGTTAGTTTACTAAAACCATAATATAAATCTATAGTTGGATTTATGAAATATCACTGGGTCATAAATTAATTTAATCAGTGGGCCAAGGCCAACATTTATTTAACATAGTAGTATAGAACAGAATAGATAATATCAATGAGCACTGCACATAGGATATGTATTGTTTCATAAAACTTTATTTCTATTTTATATATATATGAAAGCCATTCTCTTTCTAATATACCCTTCTATTTTATACATATATGAAAGCCATTCTTTCTACAATACCTATAACACTATTCTATAAGAGGAAAAGAGTCTATTATGAAATCAGACATACCCTGCTACAGCAGTCTTAAGTACAGGATAATATTCTCTACACTGCAATGATATCCTATGTAATTACTTAAGAATAAAACTACCTATGGGGGAAAAAATTTGATTGTTTTTGCTAGTTTTATCAGAATATTACCTGACATGTAATTAATTCATAATTCAGAAACCATAAAAATCTGAAGGAAACATCTTATCTAAGTAAGTTAACAGGTTCCAAAATACCTCACATTTTAAGGAAGATTTACATAATTAGTCTCAAAGTTGTAAATATAAGATAAATTCATAATACTTGATTGGCATATTAAATTTTGCTCCTTCTCTACTTTACCTATATTCTTTTTCACAAAGATTACTAGCTATACCCTAAGAAGCCTGCTAAACTACTATTTGTGTTATATCAGAATTAAATATAAAATAGATTTAATCTAGTTCTTAATAAACACATACACATTTTTAAAATGTTTCTTTGTAAAAGATAAACTGCTGAGAAATTTTGATCAAATAAAATCATGCTATATACACAAAATATATATTTCTTCAGAAAAGATTAATACGTTTAAGAACTTCATAAAATGCTTTGCTAATAAATAATCCTATACATAGTAGAAATGAATCAAGAAAAATATTAAAACAAATAAGACTTTTTGTACAATATGCCTTTGCAAACAAAATAGGCTCCCTTATAAGTTGGTAACATTCTTAATACATAAATTGTACTGACACACCCAGTACTCACTATTTAAGATAATCTTCCCAAATTTCTTCTCATACTAAGCTTTCAGTTAATTCATATATAAGGTTTAAATTTAAGGATATTCATCTGTTGAATAAATGATCCACTCTGAGCCAAGAAACCTTAAATGTCACTTCCAAAGGAAATAAACAGAAGGAATGCATAATACTATTTTTAACCCAGTTATTATGCCAAATATAGGTAATTAGCCCTTTGTTCTAACTTTTATGCTCTTCAATTTGAACTTCCATTTATGTCTTAAATTTAAGCATGTATGTCATCTAGTATAATAAAAGGGAAATTAAAAGCTAATTTTTAAAACCTCATGCTGACCCAAAGTACACAGTTGCCTAAAGCAAAATGTGGTACAAAATTTAAGTAACAAAAGCACAAACTAATAAAATGGCTGGTCAAAGAAGTTCAGGCTCTCACTACAAAACACAGCAGTTAATTTACTGATTATAACCACGGCATTCTAGTTCACTAATCTAAACAAATATTCATTAATATCTAAAAAAGATGACTCACTTGAGTCTCAGCATTATTTTTAAAATAACCATTTAAAACGTTGTTGCTAGAAAACATTTTGAATTAATTCAAGTAAAATCACTTTATAAATGCGAAAATTTACCTGCTTGAGTCCTTCATCAGTAAGTTTGTCCTGGTTGCCTACATGCACTTTCTGAAGTAAAGGACAGTGAGAGGCAACCGCAATAATAGAGGTGTCAGAAAGTTGTTTACACCTGTAGGCTGTATACCTAAGAAGTCCAGGACATTTAAATGCTAGAACACATACGCCAGTATCAGACATACTACGACAATCAGAAATGTTGATTTCAATTATATTCTGACTTCTTGATGCAATTTTTTCCAATAATTCATCAGTGACCTGTAAGAGAAAAAGCAATAAATTTAAACTTTTGCTACAAATAAAAATTTATTTTCCATTCTTTAACTAAATTTTCCTCAATAAGCAGTATACTAATTACATTATAGCATGAACAATACAATAAAAAAATAAACCTTCTTAATATTGAAGCATAACAAGAATTTGGTATAATAAAAATATTATATTTGGTCTTTGTCCCAAATTCTTGCCACAGATCTCCCAAAACTCTTGGAATTTCCTAAGTAATAGAATTTCTTTAGTTATTCATACAAGCCCTTTAGACCATACTTGAGTTCATACTAATGAAGTGACTTAGAGTGGGGCACCCAGATGGCTTCAGGATGAGGGCTGGTTACTAGAAAGACTAAATCCTTGATTAGAGGGTGATAACTTTCAGTGCTACTTCCAGGAGGGGAGGGAAGCTGGAGATTGGGTTATAAAAACTCAAATGACAGAGATTCAGAAGGTAAACAAATCAAAGTGCTGAGAGGGTGGCATATCCAATTCCTTGCCTTCTATATCTCTTCCATTTGGCTGGTCCTGAGCTGTATCTTTTATAAGAAACCCTTATAAGTTCTGTGAATAATTATGACTAATTATGAAAACTGAGAAGGAAATTAAGAGAACTCACAAATTTATAACTGGTCAGTGAGAAGTTCAGGTGGCTTCTGGGACTTGCAACTGACATTTGAAGTATGGGTAGTCTAGTGGGATTAAGCCCTTAAACTCAGTGATACTCTGGGAGTTTAGCTGAATTGAATTGTTGTACTTCCAGTTAGTATCAGAAAATTGTTTGTTAGTGTGGGAAAAAAACCCACATATTTGATGTCAGAAGTGGTACCAGAAAACACCAACAAAGGATATGGCTTTCTTTCTAAAAGCCTAAAAATCTAACCTTATTTTGAAAATTCACTTTAATTAAACCTTCAAATTCAGCAAAAACTCACCACAAACAAAACCATATTGAGATTTTCAATGTTTCACTTTCCATTTGTAACTCATGAAATAGTTAACATCAGTCATAATGTTATATGTATTTTCACTTTTTACAGCTGATATCAGATGATACAACAGCACATAAGTTTTAAATCTTTTACTGTTTCTATGAGAATGCTACATCTCATATAATTCATGGGTTAGAAAATATACCATTTTGCAAATCAGAACACCAAAGACTATATAGAAATGTCCACATCAAAAAGCTTTTCTCAGAAGAGTCAATGCTAAATATAAGTAAACTTAGAATTCATCTGGTTTTACTCAGATGGCCAACTGAATTTTTTTTTAAACCAGCCTCTATATATTCTGTGCCCAATCACCACATTTTCAAAATACAAAACATAGTTAATGTTATTCAAGTCATTTCAGTAAAAATAATGGAGACAGAAAATGTGCATAAAATTTAGAATAGAAGGAAAGAACTACACTGTTAAGCAGCACTCAGAGTAAGAGCCAAAGATAAAACTATCTATGTTTATGCTTGTTGGAAACAGCATAAACATAGTTCCTGAAAAAGTTAAAACTCTGACATACCTTTCCTTTAATTTTTTACTTTTTCATTCTCCATATCTTACTACCAACATCGGGCTGGGAGCGGTGGGAATGTGGTGTCGGGGAGGACGCTATTCTTGGTATTAATTCATAATAAATAATTCAAACATTGAAGAGTAATGAAATAACAAGCTGATAGATTGCTTTACACATATATTCTCTCCATTCCACTGTCCACAACTAACTTCCTCACCATTCTCCTTGGACATAAATGTCATGAACACAAGCAGATAAATAACAAGTTATGTTAATTGTTTTAACCTCTTATTAATGAAGCAGAAAAACAGAAAGGGAACAACTTATGCACAAATCCTCATGAGCTTGCTTAACTTGGTTAAAGTGTGTGTAATACACACACAAACACATACACTACCAGTATGCTATAGCTGGCTCGTTGCAACTCACAAGAGTTTATAGTGTGCCCCTCTTTCCAAATCTGCATTCAATGGCATAACGTCTAGCCTGACAATGGTTATGGTGGGAGTATTTATATAATAGAAATTGGCAAATATTACAAATCAAGGCTTTTGTTTTAAAGCCAGTTGTTAAACATTTGTAAGGACACCAGTAGTAATATACCATGGCAGAATTTAGAACAGGTTTAGTACTTCAATAAAATCCTATTCTTATTGATATTTTTACAAATTTCTAATGGCAAATACTACCAAGTTTTAAAAATGGGATCTAACAAGTCCAAAAAACTGTTAGTAATAAACATTTTTTTTCCTAATTTATGCCCCTATATAAACACATTAAGCAGCTAAGCAACAGGAAAAGTAGAAAATCCACCAAAAGAAAAGTTAAGAAAATAAAAGGTTATCTTAGCCCATTTTACTTCCATTTCTTCATCTGTAAAACAAAAAAAAATAACAGTATCTACTTACAGAGTTGTTGGGTGGGTCAAAAGAATTAATATGCATAACGCCCTTAGAACAGTACACAGCACAGAGGCAGTACTACAGAAACGTTTGCCATCATTTTCTACTATTAAGCTAGTAATACTAATATGATCTCCAGCAATTAAAAAAAGTTTAACAACGTTTTGAAAAGGTAATGGAAAAAGACAAAGAAAAAAAGAATTAAATAGCAACCCTAAATTACCAATCTACACCAAAAAAACCATCTTATTTACTATGAGAATCCAGCTTTAACTTGAATTCACATACACAAAAAAATACAAAAGCACAAAATTTTACATTATAGTCATTTGAACTATGTTAAAAGAAAAAAAAAGACAGTAAAGATTTCTGAAGAGAAATAAAGATATTTTTTGAGTAGGTCATATGAGTGTTACTTGGAATTAGATTCCATACCTGCTGACGACTACTAAGATCCAGCTGCTTCCAAAACTGGAAGTCTAAACAAAGGTCACGCCAGTACTTGCAAACCAATGATGCAGAAAGGCAACGCTCATCCAGTGACAAATTGGAAAATATCTGTGAATAAAAAAAACGGTACCATATAATATGTGCTAAATATTTTCAAGACACAGGAAAAGGTTTTTATTAGTTACAAAAAGTTAACTTTTTAAAAAGAAAACCTTTTTGAATAAAAGTGGCCATTTTGTAAGTCACTGTAAGAGACTGCCTTAAAGAGAAACTATGACATAGGAGCTAAAAATGGACTGATGTTATGGAGGAGAAGAGAACAGACACATACTAACATTTGTGTTCATGTATATCTTTGTGTTTGCTTGTGTTTAAAAAAAAAATGAATTGAAAGCATAAACCAAAAACTAATAAAAAAAAATGTCTACATTTCTGGAAAAGGAAAGACGACGAGAGAAGAAAGAGTGATAAACTTGAGAATATTCTGACATTTTAGTTTTACAGTTTGACCTTGGAGCCATGTGAACTTTTTATATGTGATTTAAGAAAAAAAGAAAAATAAAGTAAATCATAAGAAAGGTACTTTACCTTTATGGTATCTTTTCCAAAACATCCATAACCCAATCTAATACTAAGGAAAAAATATATACAAAATATGGAACATTCTACACTGGATCAAAATTCCTCAAAAAATTCAAGGTCATGAAAAACAACAAAAAAAGACAGAAATTATCACAATCCAGAGGAGACTAAGAAAGAATGACAACTAATGGAGAGAGATCCAAGATGGCTGATCACTAGCCGCTCGAGATTGCAGCTCCCACTAAAAGCGCAGAGCACAAGAGGATGTCATACTTTCAGATCAATTTTTGTTGCTCACGCACCAAGGGATTCCCAGTGGAGGAGCCCCACGGATTACCAGCGTGACTCTTGTGGCCAGTGAGGCAGTTTTGCTGCTGCCTTGGTGCGGTGGTTCTTGGTGCAGAGTCAGAAAAGCACCATCAATCTTAACGCCAGCGCAGTGGGTTGCTCAGATTTTAGCGCCAGGAATCAACAAGTTGGACGTCCATTCAGAAACCCAACTATAAAGACGGTAATTATAAAGACCACAGATGGATAAATCTACAAGGAAGGGAAGAAACCAGCCTAAAAAGGCTGAGAATACCCAAAATCAGAACGCCTCTCTCTCTACAGGGGATCACAGTTCCTCATCAGCAATGGAACAAGGCCTGATGGAGAAAGACTGTGTTCCATTAACAGAAGCAGACTTTAAAAAGTGGATGATAAGAAACTTCTGGGAATTAAAAGAACTTGTTCTAACCCAATGCAAAGAAACTAAGAGCTCTGAAAAAAGGTTTGATGAAATGTCAACAATAATACACAATTTAGAGAGGAACATAAGTGAATTAATGGAGCTGAAAAACATGAGAACTTCAAGAAGTATGCACAAGTTTTAATAGCTGAATTGATCAAGCAGAAGAAAAGATATCAGAGGTTGAAGACCAACTTAATGAAATAAAATGAGGAGACAGGATTAGAGAAAAAAGGATAAAAAGGAATGAGCAAAGTCTCCAAGAAATATGGGACTATGTGAAAAGACCTAATCTATGTTTGATAGGTGTGCCTGAATGTGACGAAGAGAATCAATCCAAGCTGGAAAATACGCTTCAGGATATTATTCAGGAAAACTTTCCCAACCTAGTAAGGCAGGACAATATTCAACCCCAGGTAATACAGAGAACACCACAAAGATATTCCTCAAGAAAACCAACCTCAAGGCACATAATCGCCAGATTCACCAGGGTTGAAATGAAGGAGAAAATACTGAGGGTAGCCAGAGAGAAAGGTCAGGTTACCCATAAAGGGAAGCCTATCAGACTCACAGCGGATCTCTCAGCAGAAACCCTACAAGCTAGAAGAGAGTGGGGGCCAATATTCAACATCCTTAAATAAAAGAACTTTCAACCCAGAATTTTACATCCAGCCAAACTAAGCTTCATAAGCGAAGGAAAAATAAAATCTTTTGTGAAGAAGCAAGCACTCAAGAGATTTCATCACCACCAGGCCTGCTTTACAAGAGCTTCTGAAAGAACCACTGCAAATAGAAAGGAACAATCAGTATCAGCCTTTCTAAACAATACCAAAAAATAAAGAACATCAACATAATTAAGAACTTACATCAACTAATGGGCAAAATAGCCAGCTAATATTAAATGGCAATATCAAACTCACATATATTATTATTAATTATAAATTTAAATCAACTAAATCCCCCAATCCAAAGATGGAGGCAGGCAAAAAAAGCCAAGACCCATTGGTATGCTACATCCAGACCCATCTCACATGCAAGGATACACAGACTCAAAACAAAGGGATGGAGAAAAATTTACCAACCAAATGGAGAGCAAAAATAAATAAATAAATAGAAAGCAGGAGTTGGAAATTTTGCTGATAAAATAGACTTTAAAGCAACAAAGATCAAAAGAAGCAAAGAAGGATATTACATAATGATAAAAGGATCAATGTAACAAGAAGAGCTAAAGATCCTAAATATATACGCTCCCAATACAGGAATACCCAGATATATAAGACTTGTAACAAGATTTAGACTCCCACACAATAATAGTGGGAGACTTCAACATCAATATTGACAGATCAATGAGACAGAAAGTTAACAGCGTTATCCAGGACTTGAACTTAGATCCAGAGCAAGTAGACTTAATTAACATTTATAGAACTCTCCACTTTAAATACACAAAATATACACTCTTATCAGTACCACATCACACCTATTTACAGGTTTAAATGAAATATTGGTTGGCTGCTTGTTTGTTATTTTCCTCCCTCATTTTTTTTTCATGTCTCTATTATTAAACACAATTACAGGCATACGCATTTTTAGACTGCATTCTAGCCCAGGCAATAAAGCAACACCCCTGTTCTCTCTCCCTCTCCCTCTTCCTCTTTCTTCCTCTTCTTCATTCTTTTTTTTCTTTTTT